GCTGTGTTGCCCAGGCTGGAGTGCAGTGGCACGATCTCGGCTCACTGCAACCTCCGCCTCCCGGGTTCACGCCATTCTCCTGCCTCAGCCTCCTGAGAATAATAGATATTCTTGACCTCCTATTCCTCCAACAAGATGGCATTACACTAAACACAGGCATATGCTTGGGTATTTGTGGGAAATGCGGTTGAAGAATCAGACTACATCTCAATGGCCATTTCATTTATTAGGTAGTCGTTTAATTTTTGTGTGAACTTCTTGTTCATTACGCTTAATATTATGCCTCATTTGGAATCTGCTGTGAAGCTATACAGCGTGGTTTCTTCTGGACACAACTTTATAAATTCTTGTTACGAATTACAGGTTTGATCATTCCAGCAAATTGTGTGTCTCCTCTTGTAAATCTCCTATCAACTTCAGACCAGTCTCAACAGCTTGCGGTCCAACAGAAACAGCTATGGCAACAGCATCACCCTCAGAGCATCACCAACTTGAGCAACGCATAAAGAACAGACAGGTTTCAACATGGATGGATCTGAAATGCTGTTGAAGCATATCATTTGCATAAAAATCAGGGACAGTTTCCAAAGAATTATATATTTTTTTCAGTTGTGCTCTCTCTAGTTAGTTTTTTTGGAAGTAAGGACAAACCTGGAATAGATAGCAAAACTGAAAATCAGCAGTGCTGATGGTGGTACATATGTCTTTCCTTTTGCTTCTCCCCTGGTACTTCCCATCTGCTTTTACTTTGGGTGAGCAGAGCGGGATGTGTGCGTGCGTGTGTGTCAGTCTGTTTGTGAGTGTGTTAAAGGCTACAGACCACAGTTGGTTTAAAATGCTTGGAACTTCCCAAACTGGCTTTACTTTATGTTTATACAGTGCTCAGGGTTAACGCAGTACATCCATGCCATTGCTGTGGGAGGTATCCCCGGATGCATGTGTTTTGAGTCTATAAATATAGAAAATATATATTGGTTTCTTTTTCCAGCTTAATAGGTTTATTAAAGCATGAAATGAAAGGTTGCATATCATGCATTCAGGTTATTTTCTAATTTTTGTTCTGACAGTGCATGTCTTTGAAAGCATGCGTAAACAAGATTAACACAGAAGTCGAGTAACAGAGAGAAACATTTGTTAGATGTACAGCATTGGTTATTGCATTTTTATAGTGTTTATACCTGGGTATTGCTTCAAATCCTGCAGACCCCTCCTGCCCCTTCTCCCTGCCCTAGGTTTCTGGTCAAGGTAATGAGTACATACATTTTTCTGTGATAAAACTCTTAAAAGTTAATTTTAATGTATTAATAGTATTCCTAATGTGTGCTGCAGAAATGGCTGTAAGCCTCCTAAATTTACATTTTCAACTTAAAGGTAGTTTTAGAAAGAAGTACAAATTGGCTTTCATCTTGCAAACAATCGTTTTTTACTTCGTTATCTTAATTTACTTTATCACTCATAAAAAGGAAACCATACTTGAGTTGTAGACAATTGAGGAAACACTTGAGGCTTCTGCTGTATGTTTTTTTGTTACTGTTATTGTTACTCAGTAACTTGAATATTGTTTAATGTGTTGTAAGACATTGTAGAGTTTATCTCAAGCTGTTAAAAATGGTAATGTACAAATGTGAATAGACACTTATCTATATAATATGGGTAAGTTTTGTTTCGCCTATAATAGATGTTTATAAAAACAAGTGAGGGGACAGTTGGTCTTTTTATTTCCTTTTCTTTCTTTCTTTTTCTTTTTTTCTTTTTTTT